GGGGGGGGGGGGGGGGGGGGGGGGGGGGGGGGGGGGACGGCGACCAAACGTAAAAAAAGGAAGCTTAAATAAAGCTGTGGTTGTTCCCCCAGACGCCAATTGCTTTTCTTTTCCCTTCTTTCCCATCCGCCAAAAGAAAGGGTTCTCTCTCTCTCGACCGGCAAACATGCAGGACCTTGCACCAGATCTGAACGTATCCCTTCCGAGCATTATACCACAGCCAACTACTATGCTCACCGAAACATACATGCACGGTCTCGCTGTTACCCTCGGCCTTCTCCTCCTCCCCGTCATCACCGCCTTCTATGTCCACAAGGACTACTGTGCCTTCTTATCCCTAGGCCCCGGCGGCACTCCCGCAACGCCCTTAGGCTACCTCAAAATCAAGCTTCTCTCGCTCATCTGCCTGCGGGATCCGCAGCGTCCCATTCCCATTCCACCGCACTACCGTCCACAGAGAGGCTACTTTGTCGAAGACGCACTGCCGCACCGCACCGGCCACAAGCCAGAGATCCGCGGCATAGCTCCGCAGCGCCAGCAAACGCAGATTAGTACCAAGGAAATTTACAGCAAGCTCGTACTCAAGATCAAGGAGTTCGCGAGCGATCCCCGCAACAGGCTCATGGAGCGAACCAGTTGCTTTGAGAAGCACAGCACCGGCCTCTTCACCAGCATCCCCATTACCAGGACCTGCGGCGGCGAGATATGCCATGCACACCCGAGCGACGGGTCCATGCACCTGACGCTGCACCCGGCTGATGCAAACCTCATCATGGCTCACGGCTGGGGCGAGCGGCATCCGCTGGCACGGGGTGGGTGGTGCAGAAAGTTTGTGCCTCGCGAGTTTATGCTCGTGTACGCGCCCAGAGACAACGAAGAGGTCGAGATTGTGACCAAGATTGTTGCGGCCAGTATCTGGTGGGTCAGCGGTATCAATGTCAGTGGGGACACCGAAGGCCCGAGAAGGAAGAGCGCAGACGTGGCGGCTATTGGTAGGGAGATGCAGGGAGACCAGTGCTGGACTTGTAGGATGAACACGTGTGGGGGTAACAAGGTGGAACAAATGACGAGCGATGCTTGAGGGAGCGTGGAAGGTTGCTTCCGAGGGCTTGCGCAGGGTCAGATTGATTGAATTGGTACGGGAATTTTTGGCGCGTTTAAGCATGGCGTCTGGGATTTATTGATTATCGGGATATACAGTGTAAGACACATGGGCGGGACTTGTTATTCAGAATGCTCGAGCGTGTTTGTTGGTATTTTCATTCTTATATTGTAAATCTGTCTCAATGACATGGACCGGGCTTTTGTATCGGGGTACGTTGCTGGCCTTCCAGACACATCGTCCACAGTATATTCTTGTAGCCATATCCTACTTTCCACCTTGCCTCATCCATGACTCGAATTCCTTCCTCTTTCCTTTGACATCCCAGAATCCCCTCCTGCCCTCACTATTTCCACCAATACCTGCGTCCAGGCCGAGAAACGCATATGGGTCGCCCTCGCTCAAAACCTCCTCACCCTCCCTCGTGTAGCGACCCTCGCTTTGCTGCCCTTTTCGTGACATCTGACCCGCCCATTGTGCGTAGTGTATCGGTTTCAGCGGCGCAAAAGAAATGACGATACCAAGGGAGAGGAGTAGGACGGAGGTGAGGAGCTCAAGCGTGATGTCGAGGGGCAAGGGCGTGTTTGTGAACGTTGCTGTATGTTCGTGGGTCGAGTAGACACTTGGCAGCGTCAGTGCATGTACGCGAATAGATGCAAATGATTGTATAGATGTTTCTGGTTTTGTATATGGACGGGTAAGCTGTGTGCGACTTACGCATGTGTAAGCAAGAGCACGCCGATGCCATTCAGCGCTGTCCCTAAGATGGCCATTGCGAAGCTTCGTGGAGTTGTCTAACGCTCGTTGAGATCGAGAGTGAGCGTAAGAGATGGACCGAAGCGGGCGTATAGTTTTGATGGCCGAGACGCTGCTGCTTGTACTGTGCAGGCAGAGATGGGGGCTGCGGGGTGGTGGAGGTTGGCCTCGGTGATGTTGAGAGGATGAGCTTCAGTTTTCCTCGGCGGACCCTGGCGGCCTAGGTGGTAGTACACAACCTACTATGACCTTCACATGCTTTACTCTTCCCAGCCACCAACACCCCCTACAAAAGAAATTATGTGTATAAGCTACAGAGCGTAATATTTCGTAATGCCTTAGTCGCCCTTTCAGGCAGATAGGGTCGGACGCGTAGCCTGACAGGAAGACATATCTACGTCACATCAGGCTCCCGCGCAAAAATGGCACCACCCAACTGTAGTAATTGCTGGACCCAACATGGCATTTATAGTCATCGTGCAGGAAAACTCCATAAGTGGTCGTGGCTGACCTCGGAGATGTGTGCGGTGATGCGATCTCCGACAACATGTCCGCATCGATCTCCGCATGGCAAAGTGCAACGATTTTTCGAGGTAACAACTAAGGTATAATAAAGCAGCCAAATAGTTCGCATTTCCATAATCTCCAAGAGCTCATTACTTCATCTTTTCAACAACTACCAGTCCACACTCATCACAATATCAATACTATTTCAGTTATCTCAAGCATGGCCAACTTACCACCACCCAATTCTACAAAGTCCCTCGACATTCTGATAGTAGGCGCAGGAGTAGCTGGCCCAGTTCTAGCTCTCCTTCTGCAACGCTCCAACCCCGACCACAACATCACAGTCATAGAACGCTGGCCCAGTCTCCGCACCGGTGGCCAGCAACTCGACCTCACAGCCCAATGCATCCCCATCATGCATCGTCTAGGACTCCTCGAGGAACTCCGCCAGTACTGCGTCAACGAAACAGGAATGGAGCTCGTCGACCTCCACGGAAAAAGCCTCATGCGATTCGGCGTCACAAAAGCCGGAGACAAAGGCGGCACCTTCGAACTCACTAACGAATTCGAATTCATGCGCGGCGACTTTGTAAAAATGATGTACACAGCCAGTCTCAAAGACCGCGATACCCTAACTGCCAAAGGACACACCCGCGGTAGTATAACCTACCTCTTCAACACAACCCTCACTGCCATATCTCAAGACACCACTCCGGATCTAGCAACCGCCACCTTCTCCACCGGCCAAACAACCCCCTACAACCTCATCGTTGCAGCCGACGGCCAAAACTCACGCACCCGCCGCCTCGTCTTCGGCGAAGCAATCAACACTTCTGCCTACACCTCCCTAAACACCCACGCCGCATTCTTCCCCATCCCCCGCTCCCCCCGCGAAACCAGCCTCGCACGCATGTACTTTAGCCCGGAAAACCGGCTCACCATGACGCGTTCCGGCGATCGTTCAGAAACGCAAGTGTATCTCATCCAAATGCAAAACCCACAGCGCACGCCTGTCCTGAAAGCAGCGCAAAAGTTGCCAGTGCGGGAGCAGAAAGAAGTGTGGGCGGAGCTGTACCGTGATGCGGGATGGGATTGTGAGCGGTTCACGCAGAAGCTGGCTGGTGTAGAGGATTTTTATGCAACGGAGATTGTGCAGGTTAAGATGCCGGGGAAGCAATTGTATTCGGGTCGAGTGGTGTTGCTAGGTGATGCAGGGTACTGTGCTTCCCCGTTTACGGGCATGGGGACTACGCTGGCGCTGATCGGTGCATATGTGCTTGTGGGCGAGCTGGGTGGGCATGGCAATGATGTGGGTGCGGCGCTTAGGGCGTACGAGGAGGAGATGAAGCAGCCGATTGAGGAGAATCAGGAGTTGGGAGTTTTGGTTAATGGGGGGAAGGGGGTGTTTCCTCGGTCTGCGTGGGGACTTTGGGTTGTGAATACTGTTCTGTGGACTATGTCGGTGTTGAGATTAGATAAGGTGCTAGGGATGCTGGCGGGTTTGATGCCCGAGGGGAAGGGGAGTGGGTGGAAGTTGCCGGAGTATTCTGGTATGAATGTGGAAGCGCTGTAAGCGAACTGAGTTACGCGGCTAGAATCAAGTCTCATACTTTTGTAGCATTAGAAGCATATAGACTGGCAATATAGATTTCATTCATCTCATCTCAGCAAGAGATATCTAATACGCCCCCTCCCTCTTCTTATACCCCTCTCCTTCTACAACCGCCACATCCCCCAACCCACTCCAAATCTCGGCGTCAACCTTCAATTCCAGCCCGCCAATCTTGGTCGCTCCGGCATCCAATCCCCAAAGAGACACGCCCATATAATTCGTACCCTTGTAGTTCAAAATACCCTCAGGAACAGGGAACTTGGTCTGTGGTCCCACATTATTAACGTATTTGCCATACTGCCATCCGTTGACGTAGAGTTGGACACGGTAAGCAGGGACGCTGCTTCCAGCAGATGAAGATGTGGCGTTGGTAAAGGTAAAGCTGAGAGGTACGTCGTAGCCAGAGGGAACGTCGAGTTCGAACTCTGTAGCGAAGAAGCCGATGCCGGGCGCGCTGATACCGTCGGTGACGGGGCCAGCAGATGGCTTCCAGTCGAGATCTGATGCGGCGAGAGCACCGGGAAGATGTAGACCTTGTCTCTCGACGAACAAACCACCTTCGTTGAGGGGGCCGCGCGAGATGTCGCGGTAGTCTTCTCCACCCAGGTTACCGGTGAGCTTCCAGGTCACATCCGCAGCATCGTGTCCCGAGAGCTTGTAGTTGAGGATACCACGTGGATTCTTCATTGTTTCGGTGCCAATGGTCCAGTTTTCGTCAAGACCTTGGTTGTCGATTACAACAGTGATGGTGTATTTGGTTCCGGCGGTTAGCTTGGGGAGTGTAAAGGTCGAGTTGCCGTTCATGGCGGCATCGTAACCGCGCCAGGATCCAAGGAACTGTGTACCGATCCAGGCTGATGATCCGAATGCTGAGCCGCCTTGAGTCGAGAGTTGCAGGGTTGTCTCGTTGCCGGTGGCTGTGAAGGTACCGCGGTAGAGGAGAGTGCCGGTGTGGTAGCCGTAGTCGGAGCTGTACAGCGAGACGGGGGTGGTTAATCGACGGAGAGAATTGTACGTCTTCTTGAGGTCTGCGACTGTCCACTTGCTGTCGTCGTATCCGGGCTGGATCTCTGGAAGGGAGTCGATGTACTTCCACTCAAGTTCGCTCAGCTTGGGAATGCTGATGTTGGGCTTGGGAAGATCAATGGTCGCAGTGAAAGTACCCTCCTTGGAAGTTACAAAAGAAACATCTTTGCCGTTGAAAGTCATCTTGGAAACACCAGTGGCGCCACCAATGATTTCGATAGGGGTTGTGGCATTCACATCACCGGTCAGGGCAAGGGTATCGCCAGTGACCTTGGCCGTACGCATCAAATAACCTGCCTTGAGAATGACAGGTTTTGAAGCATCGTGGGGTGCCTGATCAACCGACCAGTACTTGAAAGCTTCGTTACGATCTTTGAGAAACTGTTAGTAAAAACTTCACATATGTCGCTTTCCCTAACAAACTTACCAAGCATGTAGACGTAAATGGGGCTCTCAGTTCCCAACTTGACAACCTTTCTTGTAGCATCAGCCTGGAAGCTCAGAAGTGTGTGACCGCGAGTGGCTACGCTCTTGACATCGCCTTCGAGAATCTCAAGACCAGTAGCGTCTACAGAAAGCTCATGAGTCTCCCCCGGACCACCATACACAATCAGAACAGTCTTGTCGTCGTACTTGTGCCAGGTAAAGATCTCAGCAGTCGAATACGCAATGTTTGTACCACCAACGTCATAGTCGGTAACATGAACTTTTGCATCGCGCCCGTTCAATGTGAGCGAAGTACCGTTCAGCTGCGGCACTGTAATGTTTCCAAAAGCTTGCGTCGAAATCTTGAGCTGGTAGCTCGTAGTCGCGAGCGAATTATACTTGGCATGTCTCAAGAAGTAAAAGCCAGTCTTGTTGCCGTGTGCAGGGGTAACACTGAGATCACTCGTGGTAGTCCATGTCGAGGTCGAAGCAGCACCGCGCGAAGCAGTCAGGTATGCAGGGCTGACTTTCCAAAAGTTTGCCTGGAGCTTGAGCTCAGAGTACTTTTCACGCTTGACTTGGCGGTCTTCTTCAATCGGTGCGGCATAGTCGTACGATGTGTAGCCTCCTGGGTGACCCAAGTTTCCCCAGTTGGTACCGCCAAAGGTCATGTATAGGTTCAGGATGGTGACGCCGAAGCTGTAAAGCTGCTTGTAGAAAACGCGGTTGAACTCTGCTCCGACTAGGATTCCGCACTTGTCGAAACCTGGGCCGCCCCACTGAGAAATGTCAGATAACGTTGGTAGCATTTGAACGCGTGCAAACTTACAGGGTCAAAGCTGCCAGATTGAAACTCAATGATTGAGTAAGGGGTAGTTGGACTTTGCTGCTGATGCAGTTGTTGCCAGTTTGTCGGCAGATTGTTGTCAGGCCATCTGGTAGGATTCGCACAGTCGAAGCCAAGAGGGTATCCGTCATGTCCATAGATATCGACTGCCGCAGGAGTACCAGGAGCATTGTATCCCTTTGGAGACGCATCATTGCTGATAAGCGGCACAACGATGCTGGCATTGCGGATTTGATCCTCGACATAGGTCATGTAGACTGGATCGGGAAACGGCTTGATCGCACTGGTTGCTTGCGTGTACTCATTCTCCGGCTGAACCAGAATGATTGGTCCTCCATTCGTGATTTGAGCTTTGGCAATTGTGGCGCCAATGTTCTTCATGTAACTGGACATTATCAGTATCAAGTATCACGAATGGTTCAATCGTCCACATACTTGTCAGTCGCCGCCAAAAAGTCCGGTGCTCGAGTTCTCAGCGTGCCATTGATACGCTGGATCCACCCGGGGAAGCCTCCGCCAGAAACTTCGGCATTGATATAAGGGCCTGGTCTAGCAAGAAGGTAAATTCCCGCTTCTTGCGCCGCATCGAAGAAGGGCTGGAGACTGAACACGCCTTCCTCACGGTAAACACCCGGCTTGCCTTCGAGCAGCGCCCAGTCGACATAGAAAGACACGCCATTGAATCCAAGCGCCTTGATCTTCTGAAAAATATCAATGTACAAATCCGGAACCGGCAGTCTGTATGGATGGACTTCGCCCGAGTACAAGAAGATGCGCTCTCCATTAACAAACAGCGTGTCTTTATCCCAGGTAACCTATTTGGAAAAAAAAAGTCAATTTCTTCTCAATCACCATAAACATCCAGTTCCCAGTTTCTTGTTCCAAAACTTACAATATCCTGCAACGGCCCCCTCTTGTACGGCTTAATAAACTCTGTCGGCGACGTATACCCAACCGCCCTCGCTGCACCCTCTACAGCAAGACATCCCAACGCAACCGCGCTCCCAAGCCCAGCAAAGCCTTTCATCCTTTTTCTACTCGGCACAGCTACCCAGCGAAAAAAAAGTCAAAATAAATCACACAAAAGCTAGGTTTTGCGCAAAACAAGCCCCAGTAATCAGACAGGAGGGGGGAAAAGGGAAATCCACCCAGTATTAATATACTACTCAAATTCAATTACAACTCCATATTCGGATCTATGAACTATTCCGCACCAACGGACCGACGCGGCATCGTACATGGGTGTGGGCGCCGTTTTTGTTTTGTTTGGGCGTGATTGTTCCTGTACAATGCACACAATATGCCAGGGGTCGAAAAGGCGGCACAATGACACCATGGTACATGACGTTCCATCGCCTCCATCCCGTACCCCCAGTCCAGCTTTTTTTTTCCCCGCTTCGCTCACATCTCTCGCCCTTTTCGTACGAATTCCAACGGGGCGGCGGCTCAGAGTTCCAGAGCGGCATCAAACATGCCTCTTGTTTTGTTTTGTTTTTCGCTTTTGATTTGGGTTCAATCACAATACAGCAAATGCATGAATGATTGCGCTCGGGTATTGATCACCCAGGGCAATGGAGATGTCGATAAACATTCAATCTATTAGTTTCAACATGAACAAGATTCCTCCCTTACCTCCCCTCCTGTCAACCGGCCGGAACAACAAAATTTACCCTGAACCTTCTCTCCCCCCCGCCTCCTACTTCTCCGCCCAAGTAATTTCCCACCAATATATGTAGCAACCCACCAAACCCAGGCAACCCGCTACATATTCCCCGCCAAACGGGCAAGTTACACCCCCGATGCACGTCCATTTTACGCGGCTTAACTTCTGTCTCCATCCCCCGCTTTTTTGGCGCAAGCTTGACAAGGCTTGGATAGCCGGGATGGCGGTAAGGTACCTCCCCGTTTGCCATTTCGGGCAGGGTATCCGACATGGTGGTGTCGGAACGAGGGTACGGATTTGGGAGGGGGAATAGACGTATACAGTAGTTTTGCGCGATATGACGTCGGTATTATGGGTATGGGTACGACTGATTAAGATGAAGTACCGAGGTACATTGTCTAGTAAGGCAGGAAGAAACTATTCTATAGTTGCGTTGTCTGGCCAAATGGAGCAGTGCGGGGTATATAAAAGCGATATCTCGTGGAAATGGCGTGATATAAAACTGTCAAAAATGTATAGACTATTTGCCTTCCATGTGCTTGCTCCCCCGATGTTTGCCAGAAATGCAATGAATTTCTGTCCGCCAAAAACGAGATGGAGAAGAATATGTGCACCGTCCGAATGCTCAAGCTAGCTCTGAACCCATCTACCTCGAGATGATTCAAATGCGATAAATGATTGTCGGGAAAGAAAACAAGAGAAGAAAAAATTCAAACTTGGGATCGCATCAAATGTGTGTGTGTATCTTGTTCCCCTAATCAAAACACCAGATGTGTGTCCCATGGTCTCGACAAAAAAAAGGGATTCCACGACGGAATTATGTCGCTTGGAGAAGAAGAAATTTATATACAATGAAAAGAGAAATGCCCCCTGGTGTATGCCGAAGCATTTGCTGGGAGACCGATGGTTGATTATCCAACGCCTGTTTCTATCTCCAGATGCAGCCGTCGCGTCTCTTTGTGCAGCTCATGACTGTTGGTATTGGTAAGTGGGTACAGAACCACTCGGCGGGTAAAAAGTTGCGTTGGTGTTGTTGCTATCATAAGTGGAGGCCTCGACGCCCACTGTCCAGTTTGGTGTGGTGTCATAAAGTGCTGCATCGCCCAACATGAGCGTGCCAAAAGCAGTAGAATTGTTGAATGTTTGCGCGCCTCCCGCTTCTATTGCTGCTCTAGCTGCATGCATATTCACTGGCCCTGGTAGTGACCAGCCAGCATAGGTAGCCTCTATGGGAATAGGCGTTGCGTGTGTGAAATGATTCGGGCCAGGCTCAAACCCACCCCTCGCCGTCGGCATGTTGGCTGAGGGAACAGAGCTACTTGCGTACGGGTATGTAGCAGTTGGTTGCGAGGGGTGTCCTCGGTATTGTGGTGTAGGATCTGGGTGGTAAACGTGAGAGCTCGTTTGGGGACCATAGGTGGAAGTCTGCGTCGTTGGAGGCGTTCGAATGCCATGCTGATTCACAGGCGTAAAGGCATTCGTGACTGTGTCCTGTTGATTCGGTGTGTTATCGAATGTGCCTTCCTTCTCAGGTTTGACAACAGCAGACGTGCGTGGCGACGTCTGCTCAGCAGAATCGTCATCGTGCGATAACCTGGTGTCGGCCAAGTCAATGTCCCTGGTAGACCAGTTACTGTAGTCATCGACCGTCTTGCCAAATTGTTTATGCATCCTCTCAAACAATTGCGCATAGTCTTTCAGTCCGCCTCCACCAACGCTGTCGCTATTGTTGCTCTTGGGAGAGTCACTGACTGAACCTCCACAGTCCCTGTACTTTTTCTTTTCGCGCCTGTAGTACCGTTGCCACTCAGCCAGTTCACAGAGCCATGAGCGAGCCATCTTGAAGCGTTTGAGGATACGGAACAGAAAACCGTTTGCAATGTCGTGAGCTCTGGGCTCGAGGCGTGATGAAAGCATGCTGTCGGGGTCCATGTTGGGAAAGTAGTGACAGTAAATGGCTATTATTGTCAGTAGAACTCTAGCAAGACTGAAGCAAAAACTTACTGCATATACCAACAGCGAAGCAAGCAAATGCCACCGTAGGCGTCTGCACCGAGTCACTGTGAACTCTGGTAGTCCCGATGGTATGTAGCAATTGGGTAAAGTCGCTGCAGGCCCGTGCGCAGTCCTTGGCTTGGTTGATCCAATATTCGGGGTCAGGAGGAGGTTCGTCAATGAGTGGCTCGTCTAGAGGGCCGCGAGGATGCGTCAAAGTCCATGGCGACGTGGGCATGTATTCTCTGTACAGCCAAACAAAGCATAGTGTGTACATGGCATGTATCGAAACATACTTTCCAGGGTTGTTGTAAATCCGGTCCTCAGTATTCTCCGCAGTTAACTGGAGATGGTCAGGCAGGTCACGCTTCAATTGCTTGAGCTTGTCTTCAAGTTTCTTGAACGTAGTAGTCGAATGCCATGGTGCGTTTTTGCCCTCTTGCCTGTTGTTTGTTAGCCCCACTAATGCTTAGCCGGAAGATGCAATGCCATACCGCCGTCCACTATTACACGACCACCGAACCACTTCGCCAAAAACAATAACAACTTTTATGTACCATGTGAGTTCGGCCTCGTGTTCACCAATCTCCCACTTTCCCCCATCTAGCTGAGAAGCTCGATCCCCATTCTGCTCATTGCGGTGATGCCGAGCAAGTACATCCCACTCTGCTCTCCGCTTGGCATATGCGACATCGTCCTCACCGAGCAGTCTTGTCCGCGCTTTGCGACCATAGTTGAATGCGCCATCACTACAAACCAGCTGGGTCCTTTGAAAGTGCTCAGGCCCCAGCATTGGTGGCCGGTCTTCTCCCCAGCTGAGATACGAGTCCATGAGGCAACAGCTCCAAAAGGTGCGGCGTTGAGTCTCGCGGAGAATGAATTGATCCTTTTCGGATAACCGGCTCTCGCCTTCTCTTAGTGGAGCAGGCTGGCCCTTTTGATCGACATCGAGATGCGGATATCCCAGGACAATTGCACACCGAATAGCGGTCCCAATTTTGATCCAGCCCTCTCGACCTTGCAGTGCCGTCCATTCGTAGTAGCCCAGCATGAGAAGTGTCTGGATCTTCTCTAGGGTTGGAGTGCCAAATATCTCGGCACCCATTTGCGTGCGCGTGGCCTGGGCATAGAATTCGGCAGTCTTGATGGGGTCATTTTCGGTCTGCTGGACGAGCTTCTCATGGAAGCGGGCTGTGTGGGTGAGAAAGGCCAGAAGCAAAGGTGGGTATGGCTGGTGGAGTTGAGATTGTGTTTGTGTCTTGGCATCAACCGAGTTGGCCAAAGGCTGTAGCTGCTGCACGGCACTCAAAAAGGTTCTCTTGTGCAAAAAGGGAAAATCAATGGAGAAGTGTTTTTCGTAAATGTCAAACTGGGTGGGGTGAGTAAGGATACAGGTGGGGGATGGCGGCGCGCATTTACCAGCTCTTCCCAGACCTGGGCAGTGAGGAGAGGCGACTGAAGGGCATCCTCAAAGGTGCCGAGGCCTTCTATTGGACGCTGTGCGCCAGACGTCGTGGTCGCTAGAAGCTTGCGACGCTTCTTTGGCGGGGCCTGGTGGGAAGTCAGCACTAGGAGCGTGTTGTACATGGACGGGCAGGTGGTAACGAGGCCAGCAGGTCGTCGAGGCTTCAGCTACCATGACTTACTTACATCAAAGTCAGCAGTACTATCGCGTCGCGGCGGCGCCGAAGTGGTTGCGACAGCAGCGTGGTCCCAGATGCAGTCGCGCTTGGTGTTTGCGCACGCCTTGCAGGTGGTACCTTGACCAGCATTTTCACACTTGGTCTTACTTCGGCGACATCTGGCACATGCAATTTGTGAGCGCATGCCTCTTTTCGCGGAGGGTTCAGCACTACCGCTGGTGGCATCAAGGGGGCCTGGAGTTTGCTGTGGGGATGCCTTGACGGTGGATGGGGAGCGCTGGGTTAAGGGCGAGTGCTGCTGTTGTGGCTGATGGTGGTGAGGCTGTTGGTGTTGGTGGTGCTGGGCGGGCGGCGATTGTGGCGGACGGAGTGGTTGATGTTGTGCGTAAACAGGCAGTGCAGTTAGCCGCGGTGCATTCTCCCCAGTCATGAGAGGAAGCAATGCGCGACAGCAGGGCAAGTTGGGGGTGGTCGGGGAGAGCAGAGTGCGTCTTGGTAATGCGTCGTCGGAACAAGCTTTTTGGTGACGGTGGATGTAACAGTGGGTTCAAGGTCGAGTCCTGGGGAGGCTGGCTGGCGGGGTGGTGGACAGCTACACTAGGGGCGGCGGCGCAAACGCGTTGCTAGTCGTCTGGTTGTCGTTTGTCGCTGCTGTTATCGCCGTCGCTGGCTGGTCGGGGGGCAATTGTGCACAGCGCGCGCGCGGGCCGGACAAGGCCAGATGCAGGGCTGCTGGGCTGCTGGGCTGCTGGGCTGCTGGGGGAGGGGGCGGATCCCAGAAGAAGCGAAGACGATCAGGGCCCGACGGCAGCAAAGGCGCAGCAAAAAGTGCAGAGTCAGGGCGGGTTGGAGGACTTCAATGTGCAATGGGGCAGCGTGTACAGTACAGGCAGGCTGGGAGGGAACTGTCTGGCCTCGGATCGTGGGGTTCCAGAGAGGTGGTGGGAGTGCTGGGCTGAATGCTGGGCTGGTCTGGTCTGGTCGTGGAGCTGCGGGCCTGACGGGTATTCTATTCAATTCATCGATTATGATTGCCCTATCGACAGGGCGCGGGCAACGGGGCAACTTGGCGTCGCGCGTCTTCTAAGCGATGCCTCCCATCCACCGTACCGTCCGCCCAAGGCGACCAGGTCGTCGTTTGCCGCGCTGCCGTAAGACGTTATGCTTGTCATGCTTGCTGATACGTCATGCCCCAGCCAGCACACGGCCTAGCCGTGGCGGATATGGACTTGTGCTTGGACGGCGGCCCGCCGAGGAGCCATCTACCGATCGCGGCCGTCGTCGCTGTCCGTGTCGTTGTCTGTGTCTGTGTGAGTGTTTCTGTCCAGTCTGGATGCTCGTGCTGGCCGTCGCATTGACTCGACACGTGGGCTAGTCTCCGACTTTCCCATGACATAAGCCTCTCGGCCCTGTCTTCCCCATTGAGCGACCTGCGCATACTCCACACCTACTACATGGTGACTAGCATATACATGGTACATATACTATGTACATAAATACAGCATCACCTCAGACTGCCATTACGTCTGACCGACAGACAGCCTTGTCCTCAGGGGGCACACCGAGGGCCTGATGAGTTGTCGTCCGTCGCCTTTCCGCGGAGTGAGGGCATACCAATACTAATCCATTGCACCGTGCTGGCATCCTCGCATGACCCCATGTGGAATTAGCCCTACACACGAGGGGGTGGTGCCAAGCATTCCACCCTACCCATCCAGTATGCTTAGCAAGCCCACTATATCAGCTCACCGTGTACACTATGCGTGGGGAACGTTTGGGCCCCTCTTCGCTGCCGCGTAGCGGGCCATGTCGTGCATACGCATGCGTCCCGACTCTCAGCCTGGCCAGCCATGCCATGAGTGAGATTCTGCGCTGCCCATGTTGCCACACATGCCCAAGCTGCATCTTGCTCAATCCGTCTGTCCGTATGTTCACCTGCCCACCTGCCCACCTGCCCACCTGTCCCCTCGTCCCAGAACCACTCCCACCTCCCCGCTTACCGCGACTGTCGACATAGGTGACACCTACGCAGTATGAACCCATCTGAGGCTTTGCGACATTACCACACCTGCATATGTCTCTGATACGCCCGTCATATGCCGTGCCATACAAGAGTGGAGTGGATTGCGTGATTATTCTTCCAATCGCCATTCCCCGACCTACTCTAATTGCCTAGATGCGCCCACCCGCCCACGTGCTCCCATCCCCAACTCGCGCCTGCTTTCGGAAACCATCAACCTCGCCCCTCTTACCACTTTTCAACCGCCGGCCTAAGATCAATTTCCCACGTAAGGTTGGTCTTGGGCTGCGTGTGCAACCACCAGTAATCATTCGCAATCTGCATATCGCCTTCCCATTAGCCTTGCATTGCCCGTTTCCGTCCTTGCTCGCAAGAGAAAAAAAAAGGTAAAAAAAAGGGTAGGACATGTACACTTACCGCATCAGCATTCAACTTTGCCTCCGCAGGCATGTCCTTGAGCCACTCCTTGGTCCTCGGAATATCAATCACTCCATCAATAATCGCATGCGCAACGTGCACCCCCTGCGGTCCAAATTCGCGCGCCAGGCTCTGACTGAGCGCCCTCAGTGCCCACTTGCCCATCGAGAAAGATGACATTTGCGCATTGCTCTTGACCGATGCTGTTGCCCCCGTGAAGATGAGCGAGGGTGGGTGCTCTGACTGCTGCTGCACACCCTTGAGCAGCAGAGGCAGGAACGACTGGCTGAACAGAATCCCGCCCATTGCGCTAACCCCCAGGCTGGCCTGGAAAACATCCGCCCCAGTCTCCAGGAACGGTTTCCGAAGAAACCCACCAGACGCATTGAAGATGGCGGCGGCTGCCCCCACATCTGCTCCGAATTCTTCCTTGATCTTCTCGACCGCACTCCCCAGGCTGGCAGCGTCTGACACGTCAGTGCTGATGCCAATCGCCTTGCCCCCCTTGGAGTTTATTTCTTGTGCCAGGCTTTCGTAGTTCTCCGGCTTGCGCGCAAGCAAGACTACAGGGTACTTGGCGGAGAACTTGCGGGCTATGGATGCCCCAGTTCCGGGCCCGACGCCAGCAACAACTGCAATCAGTCTCGAGGTCATGATGTGTGATGTGATATGATTAGAAAACGACAATGTGATGTCGGAACAACAAGAAAGAACAGACGATTTTATATCTTGTTCACTATGAAGAGCTCACAATTACTAACTTATAGCAACAACCAGAGCTAATCAGAGGTATATGTTTACCAATCCACCAGTGGCATCATATCGCACTCGGATTGCATAAACGCCGAATCACTGAGGGGAAGGTACGTCATGATTAATAAGCACATATCCGATAACGTGTTCTATCAGTAAGCTGGCCGTATCAGTAAGCTGGCCGCCCCACCAAAATTGACGCGACGCTCTACACCACCACCACAATGCCGCGACAACAACGCTCTATACAGACTTCTCGTGAAGGCAGACTAAGCCTTGCTATCGCATCCTATCATAATAATCCAAAAAGTTCTATCTACTCTCTTGCGAAAGCGTATGACGTGCCAAAATCAACACTCCAGACGCGTCTCCGCGGTGTCCAGCCACGGTCAGAGATTGCGTCTACTAGGCGCAAGCTATCACTTATTGAAGAGCAGTCTCTTGTTCAGTGGATTCTAGAGCTTGACCGACGTGGATTTCCACCACATATCATTGACGTGCGACGAATGGCAGACACTCTACTCGCCGCGCGTGGCCAGAATCCACCACCACCACCTATAGGCAAATGCTGGGTGCCGCGCTTTATTCAGAGCCAGCCAGAGCTTCAGACAAAGTGGAGTCGGAGATTCCATAGCCAGCGCGCCCAGTGTGAGGATCCTGTCGCAATTACAGCGTGGTTTAAGCTAGTAGAGGGAGACGCGCCAGGCGTACGGCGTCCTAGACCAGGATATCTATAACTTTGACGAGACTGGATTCGCTATGGGCGTCGCTGCAACGTCGAAAGTCGTGACTAGCTCTAATAGAGTTGTCGGGCAGTTGTCGTACAGGCCAGGCAATCGTGAGTGAGTAACAGCA